GCGGGTCAGGGCGCAGATGGCGCAGCACCTGCTCCTGACCTGAGTCCAGGCCCGCCGCAGAGAAGGCCCGGCTGGGGCTCAGCAGCCTGCCCGCGCAGGACAGCGGCGCGTGGGGTGGCATGTCCACGGCCCGCCGAGAGCGGCGGGGGCTCGAGGCGGGCGCCCCAGCCTGGGCCTGTGGGGTCGTGGAGGGCGCCAAGCCGAGCCCTGGGGGCGCCTGGTGGGCGCTGGGGATGAGAAGGCGGCCTGGACCCTGTGGGGATCTGGGGACCCCTGGAGGGGCGGAGGCGGGAGAGGCTCGGGCCCACCTGGCGTCTGCTGCGCTGTGGGTGCCGCCCCCCCCGGGCCTCACGCCTGGCGCTCAGGCTGGGATGCACATCCCGTGCAGGCCCTCAGCCCGCCCCCCCAGGCAGAGGGGCTCTGATCGCAGCTCCCCGGGGAGGCATGAGGGGGAGCCCTGCAGCCGCTCAGCAGTGCCTGGCCCGTGCGCCGGCCTGGCCCGAAGGGGCGCACTCTGCTGAGGTCAGGCCCCTCCCCACCAGGCCTGGCCCAGAGCCACGCTGCCCCTCCCCGTGGGCAGAGCCGCAGGCTGCACTACACCAGCCTCGGGGTGTGCGCCCTGGGGTTGACCACTGGGGTGGCCAGTGTGCAAGAGGTGACCAGGAGCGGGGCCAGGCCGCCCAGCCCCCTCTGGCTGGCCCTGCTCCCAGCGGGGAGGGGAGGGCCCTCCTGTGCGCCCCCAGGCAGGAGCCCCAAGCAGGAAACTGCTGAGCTGCCTGTCGCCAGGCGCGGAGGAGCTGCGGGCCAGCACAGCCCGGCTGGGCGCCCAGGGTGCGACGCGGGGGCAGCGCTCCCCGGGCAGAGGCGCCCAGGCCGGAGGCACAGGCGAGCCCGGGAGCCCGGGAGCAGAGCGCTCGCTGCGCCCGGCTCCGCTCGGCTCCCTTTACCTGCGGGCCTGGCACCGCCCAAGGGTCCCACCCGGCCCGGCCAGGCCCCACAAGTGCTGGGACAGCTCCAGCGCGTCCTGGGCCCCGCAGTGCTGCCCATCAGCCCAGGGCCCGCCCCTGGGGGTGTGCTGTCCACCAGCCCTCGCCGCTACATCTTGCTGTCCGTCAGCCCCGGCCCCGCCCCTGCCCTTGGTGCTCCGGCCCCAGCCCTGCACCTGTGCTGTCCGTCAGCCCGGCCCCGCCCACCACCTCGTGCCCTCAGCCCTGGCCCCGCCCCTGCCCTTGTGCCCTCAGTCAGCCCCAGCCCTGCACCTGTGCTGTCCGTCAGCCCGGCCCCGCCCACCACCTCGTGCCCTCAGCCCCGGCCCCGCCCCTGCACCTGTGCTGTCCGTCACCCCGCCGCGTGTGCTGTCAGTCAGATCTGGCCCCGCCCCTGCACGTGGGCTGCACTCAGCGTGGGCCCCGCCTGCCCGCAGTGCTGTCCGTCAGCCCCCACCCCCAGCACATGTTCGGTCTCTCCCACACTTGTGTTGTCACTCAAAGGCCTGGCGGTCACCAGAGCGGGACACTGGCCACGCTGCCCGTGCTTCTGGCCCATGGACGCTGCGCTGCTCCTCGCCGTCGGGCTGCTGGCCCAGGTAAGTGGGTGCCCTCCGGAGCGCTGGGAGGCCTGGCTTGGTGGAGCGGGAGGCAGTAACCATCTGGACAGTACGGGGAGCCCAGCGGGTTGTGCTCTTCTTCAGGGGCGCACCCCTCAACTCTGCTGCATCTCAGGTGCTCGTTTTCGTGGTGGGAACAGGCAGGAGCACCCTAGCTGGGGGGCCGGGCCAAGTTGCCCAGGGCTCCATACGCCCACTTGGCAGTGACCCTCAGATCCGGGCAAAGCCCCCCGGCCCAGCCAGCTGGAGCGGAGTGTCCCCAGGAAGTCAGCCCCTCCCCGGGGAGAGCCGTGTCCGGGGAGCAGGCCTGACCCACACAGCCCGGCACCCCACTCGCGCCCCAGCCCCGGCCTCCTGGTCTCCGCAGCACAGCTGATGGGTGGAGGGCTGAAGTCGCTGCCCCCGCCTGGGCACCCTGGGTGGCCACCCTGCCGCACCCAGCTGGGGCTGGCTGGGGCGAGGGCGCGTCTGGGCACAACAGGCCAAACTGGGTCCCAGGCCAGGCCTGTGTCCGCGCATCCATTGCGGCCACAGTCGGGCCTTCCCGGCAGAGCCCCCGCTCGCTAGCTCAGGTTTCAGACCCTCCAGCAGCTGGGCCTGTGGGGCCCAGGCGCCAGCTCCTGCTGCCAGTCTGGGGCCCTCCCGCTGCCCCCAGGGGCCCCACCATCTCCGGGGCTGGCCTGTTGGCGTGGCCGCCCACAGCACCCTGCGCCCTCTACTGGACAGCCGCCAGGACAACGGCCCTCTGGCCGAGCCCGGCCCCAGGCCCCCACATGCCGGATGGACCCCCAACTCCACGCCCTGAGGCCCTCCCTACTTCTGCCTCCATCCCTCCGGGTGGGCCAGGGGCTCCTTGGGTTCTCCAGCTGTCCCTCGGGCGCCAGGGCCCTGCGGAGGGAGAGCACCAGCTCGCATCCTGAGGCCCCCCGGGACCCAGCCGGAGGTGCGGGGCCCCAGGTGTGGTGGGGACGATCCCCGACTTGCGTCTGCCGCCACCACGTGGCTCAGCAGAGCTCCAGCCCCAGAGCGGACAGTACCGGGCGCCGCCCGGCCCGGCTTTCTCTGCGGACGTGCGTCGCACCACCCGCACGGGCCGCCTGCGGGCCCAGTCTCCCGTGGCCCGCCGCGTGGCCCCGTTCCTTGGGCCGCCGGGCTGGCAGGACAGGGCGGTGGTGAGCTGGCCCGTGGCCCCTGGGGGCCTGTGGCCCCTAAAACTTCAGCCAGGGGATGGGTGAAAACCTCGGAGCGTGTCCTGCCAGCCCCGTCCGTGCCCTGGGGTCCCCAGCAGCTATGCCTGCCCCTGGGGTGGCACAGGAGTGGGGCCCCACTGGGAGGGCCCGGGCCCGCCCGCTTCGGGACCCTGTGGCCTCCAGAGGGAACCCGGGCCTCAGACGCTCGGCCTTGGCGAGCTGTGGCACCCAGGGTGGACCCCCTCGCGGGCACGCGCCATTCGCTCTTTGTGGTGTGGGCACCCCGCCGGGAAGGCGGCGGCTTCGGCCACCGGTCCCGGCCAGGCGGGCTGGCGGGGGAAGTGGCTTCTTTGTCACGCCTCCCGCACTCGGCCCCCTCGGCCCTCTGCTGAGGCTCAAGCAGCTGGGAGAGGGGCGCGGCGGGGGGGCGCGGGGCCGGCAGACAGCGGGCCCATTCCTGGCGTGACTGGGCTGCGCAGGACCCCAGGAGCAGTGGCCAGGATTCCAGCGGGGGTGGAGCGGGGTCGGCAGGGCGGGGAGGTGCGGAGGCCGGAAGCTCAGGGAGCCCCCAGCTTCCCCCGG